TAATCTGCCAGTCCTTCCCATCATCTCCCACTATGATCAGAAAAATGTACTTTTGATACTCCGAGGAAGGAGAGTGTCATTGTGAGACCAAATTCCCAGAATTTTGAAGTATATCCCTGCTTCCCTATCATTCTACTGTTTTCATTAAAGGCTATTATTGAACATGTAACTAAATGTATTTTAATTTTTTGACTTTTTTACTCTTTTCCTATAAATAAAAATTCGCACTAAGACGACAAAACCAGGAGTCTAAGGTTTGGGTCAGCAGTTGTGCTTTCCTATCTTCTGTGCTGACTGAGGGGCTGTGTCTTGTGCTCTGCAGACTCTCTGGGGTGTGGGATGGGGGACTGGTCTGTGCCCACACTGAAATATGATTGGCCTGGGTAACAGTATCCTTCACACCCTGAGATAGTATGACTCTTGTGATTCTGTGGGTAGTAGAAAGTTTCCTATTCATTTTACTGTCATTCCTCTGCCCTTGATTCTGTCCTGACTTTCCACGTGGACACTCTTTTCTGGAATAGCATTTCTCCTTGTTGGAGGGAGGGAAGCAATAGGTTTCTGGACTGTTTTTTGTGTGTTTTGTTTTTGTTTTTTGTTTTGTTTTTGAGAACATTGGGGAATATTATGAAAAAGGCATGTATTTTTCTGGGCAGCTTATTATTCTAAGGAGAATGCTGACTGACTGGTAATGCTGAAGAAGTGGGACCAGCATCCAGGATAGGGCGGGACTCCAGACCTGGACTAGGGAAAATCAAACCTGGGAAGCAAAAACACGTGCTGCCTTCACGATGTCCAGGTGTGCCGATGAGCAGACTGAGCCTGGGAAGTGGCCATGGATGCGGGCATGGCCCCCAGGGCTTTGTTTCTACTGGGGTCTGATGAGGTCTGAGCTTAGTGGGGCATGCCATTGCTTCCCTCCAAGTTTTCTGCGCCTGGTTTTCCCACATATACCACAGCTTCCCACTTCTCATCTGACACAAAAATCTTTCTTCTGACACTACCTCAGGGTGGAAAGAGGAGAATTCTTCCTCACCCACAGTAGTCAGCCAGCAGCCTCCCTATAAATGGAAATGAGAATCAGATGCAAGAGCCTTTATTCATTTGTCCCTCATTCACCTTTTCAGCAACTTTCTTTTGACTTTCTCCATGTTTGTAGTTTGCCCCTTCAGAACGCTGGCAAGTTTGCCCCCAGATTCTCTTGTTTTCCCTCTGCTGACTTGGACACTTTGCCCTCTTCTTCAGCATGTCACATGAGTTCTCTCACATGGTGAGACTTTGTTGGGCTAGACCTTGTCAACACCTGTTGTCCCGAGGTCATTAGTAATAGTGCCTGTATTACCTCAAAGTGTCCAAGTGGCATGAGAAATTATAGTCAACCTGCATATTGTCAACTACCCTAAATGTCACGCTGTCAGTTCACATTCTGCATGTCTCTTGTAGAACTGAGCATCCTCCTCCCAGAAACTCTTCCCACATTCCCAGTTTCTTTCTGTCATTGGCATCACCTTCTGGTTGGCCAGGATGGACCTAGCCTCCTCCTCTGATGGTCCCAAGGTCAGGGGCTGTGGACCAGCCATTTGGGGGATAAAGGAAGGAAATTGGTACTTGGCCTTAAGGAGCGTGAGTCCTGTTGGGATGAGGCCCAAGACACATTTGCAGTGAAATACTCCTTATTTGCCTGGCCTGGCCTTGCCTCACTAGGGCCTATCCTTTTCTCTCCATTTGGCCCATTCTGGTTGCTTCCCTCTGAACCCATGTCCTGTCCTGGCTACTGCCCGTGCCACCCTCCCCTGTCTCTTTCCTGCCTGCCCAGGATTCTGCACAGAGTCAGTGTATTCTCTACCTGAGAATTCCAGCATCACTGTGCAGACATGGACAGGTAAGATGGGAAGAAGTACAAGAGATTATTAAGGTTTAAGAGATTCTCATGAATCCCAAAACTAAAGTCCATACCTGCCTGTGCCTAGACTTTAGACCCACACAAAGCCTGAGCCTCTGAAGCTGTATCTGAAGTCTTTGCCCACCCACATGCATATTCCAGTCCGTTGGGCTTGGGATCCTATAGTGAGCAGGGTGGAAAGTGACTTTCCTGTCTCTAGAGCCGTATGTTGCTTAATTATTGGAAGTTTTCCCTTTTTTTTTTCATAATTAAGAAGCTAGGTTTTGTGTTAGTCTTTTATTACATAAATAAAAGCAAAATATACTCAAAAATTTAAACAGCATGTAGAATTTAGAGTGGAAAATCCTTGTCTCCCTGCCTGTCTTTCTTAGTCCCTACCCCAGGGAATAGAATAACTGCTGTTCTGTTCTCTTTGTTCTTCCAGACGTTTTCTGTATGCATACAAGTTCGTCCGTCAGTGAGAGACATGCTTTGCATCCAAATTTGCACCTTATTAAAGAGCATCTCAGTGGGTGGCATATGTGGACCCAGAGATCACTTTAGAGGCCCACCCCCTTAAACCTCTCATTTTCTTTCCAGCTGTCCCTCCAAAGTATGTGAGCGGCTCTAAGTGGTATGGCCGTAGGAGCCAGCCCGAGCCACGTGACTCTGCAACTGGAGCCAAATGTTTACCAGAACAGCAAGCCAGGGCCACCGTGAGAAGCCAGGTCCGACGCTCTGCATCTCTGGAAAGTGTGGAGGTGGGTTGGGTCCCCTCTTCCCTACCTCAGGCTACTCAACATTGGAAAAATAATATTTCACTTAGTCATCACTGCTCACTACAGGAAGATGTGAGGAAGGAGACAGACATTCCTGGGCATTTTATCATCAGAAGGGAGGGCACACTTTGGAGAATGACATTTCATTCTTAAATATCTCCAGGTTGACTTGTCTGCAGGGAAATTCTGGCCACAGCTCATACTCCTTCAGACAATGGGTTGGTAGAGAGTTTGTATACAAATCACTTGTTTCTCTCCCTCCCCTGCTCACCGCCACCACCTTTCCCCAGTACTGCACAAAGGTGCAGTGGTAATCAGTCAAGGATAGAAAGAGAAGGGTGCTTTTCTGAAGCAACCTCAAGGTTAAGAATTTGGATGTCCCAAGCTCACCATCTCACCTGCCTCGAACACTTAAAATATCCTGAGCCACACATTTACAACTTGGTGAGCACATGCCAGATCCTCTGGGATCCTGGAAGTTGACTCTAGCCCCCATTCTTCCTGAGCTGTTCACTGTGGTTCAAAGCCTGACCCAGGAGATGGGCTGCTGGACCTCCTGGCCTTCATGTCAAGAAATATTTCCATGGGGCAGATCCACAGCCTGCAAATTAATTGTGGGCTTGTGAGACTTATTTTCAAGGATTCCAGGAGTTTCTTGGTTTCTGCTCTCTGTAACGACACCTCTGTCAGATGGGGCAATATGGAGACTTATCTTTAATAAGACAGCCCCAGGCACCCAAATTAATTTTTCGAATGTTCAACATTTGTTGAGGTGAGGAAGAAAACAAACATATGTATTTAGATCCTAAAGTCACTTATCTTAGGAATGTACTAGACCCGGGCAACACCAACAAATCCAGGACATTTGCTTTTTTATCCTCTTTTAACTTGGCCCTCGGGAATGGAGGACTGGGTTGGTCCATCTTTGTGCTACTGTTCTGCTTCTTAAAACTATCTTTGATCCCCAGAACTAGAATATGGGTTGGCAGTTGGGTTGAATACATTAGAAGAATGGGACACACCAACTGCTCACACATTCCTACCCTCAGCTCAGTGCTGGCTCTGAGGAGTAATGAGTGTTGATTATCTGGTATTTATTCCAGAATTGGTCATGGGACACATAATACCTGTCAGAAGCAGACTTTGACTTTGTGGTTAGCTCCTTGGTCATAAAAACATGAGAGTTTTACTTGAGTCAGGTGTATCTTGATGGCCTCCCTTCTTCAAGATATTAAGTGCTTGCTGTGCACTGCACTGTCCCAGGAGCTCCTGGAGGAACAGAGACCTGCTCTCCTTTTGACTGTTTGCAGAACTAATATGGGTGGTAAGAGATGGGGTGTAAAGATGTAAGGACCTTCAAGCCTCAAGATTCTTTCCTATGATGGAATGTCAAAGCTCCAGGGCCACTCTTCTTGAAGAGGTGCTGATTTAGGGAGCATTTTTATTCCTGTTAGACTAGGAGTGCTTGATCACGTTTTCATTGTGAGCTCTTGCCTGGGTACAAAGCCCGCGCTGCAGAGGTGGAGTTTCATTTGGAGGATTTGCATCTCACCAGGCTGGTCCTCTTCTTCAGTCCTCTTCCCTGCCCTAAGACATACCATCTACTTTTTCTGGTGCTCTCCTCACTGCCACATCTTCTGGGGCATTCATGTTCTTCTCTTTTCGTTTTTCTGTAGAGTCTCAAGTCAGATGAAGAAGCTGAAAGTGCTCAAGAACCTCAGAATGATTTGTTAGAAACACAAGGTAAAGCCATGGTCTTATGTTGGTGTTACCTTTCACCAGTTCTTTGAAAGCTCCAGGAGCTGGATCATCAGATAGCCAGCCAACTGTAATTTCTCGGGAAGAATGCAGTATGGGTGTTGTCCCTAGTGAGCTCCTTCTTCAGGATGGTCCCAGATATGAGCGTATCACTTGGTCCTTGGAATTCTCTGTGGTCAGACCCTCGGGCAGAGGCTGCTGGCTAAGGGAGCAGTGTGGTTCTGCCACATTTCACAGTCTGCAAGGACCAGCATGACACAACTGGCAGGTGTGGCCCTAGGATCTTAGGCACTACGCTCCCAGGGCAGGCCCTGTGCCCCCTTCCTGATGCACGGACCTGTGCACTGCCTGTCCCCTGCTGTGAGTAAGCAGTCTCAGCATCCACCAGGGACCCTGTCTGTACCCAAAATAAAGTGCAAGACATGATCTTGGTCCTAAGGAGCCTTACGGTAGCAACAAGAAGGCAGCAGCAGGTGTACTTAAGCAAATAACAGTGCGTTAGCATGTGATCTCTCAAAGGGCAGAAAGTGCAGAAACTTGGTTTGGAAACAGAGAGACCACAGTTGACCTTGAATTTCTGCTGCAGTAAGAAATTAGCACTTGGGACTGTTCATTCAGCGTTTACCTCCGTGAATGTCAAGAGAACTGACTTGAGCATCACTGACTGGTGCTGCTGGACAAAGCAGATAGACCCCTTCATGTTAGGAAGAGCAGCCAAGCCATCACGTCTTAATTTCCTTGGACTCAGTTCAAGGAAGGGCTCCCAGGGTAGGTTATTCACAGAGCGATTCAGTGCTTGCTCTCTGCCTGGAGAACAGGGTGGTTTCTTCCCAACCTTTCCATCTGTGTTAGAACCAACAGTAGTACACAAACACTCATGTCAAACCTCAAAGAATTTATTTACCTCCTATGCCAGCCCTGAGAAATAAACCTCAGTATCAGAATTGCTTTTAAATTTTTTAGAAATTTTAGACATTTTAAGTTGGAAGGGATCTCAGAGGTGGCCTTTTCCTGCCTGCCCCTTTCCTCGCATTTTCCTCAGCCCAACCTACAGCAACATTTATGAGCCTGGCTTTCCTTGGGGAAACTGGTTTTCTGATTATTAGTTGGATTATCAAAGCTATCAACACCAAGGTGGCTCATCTACTTGAAAGGTCCAGACCACCGATGGAACTCAAGTCACTCAAGTCTGAATTAGGTGGAAGCAGCCCTCTTTTTGTGTTGGGCTGGTTGTGGAGGTGAGCATCTGGTTTGAAGCATGGCTCATCCATGGATAGCTCCTCATAGACGTCCTCTACATATGACCTCTTCCACAAGTTACTCCTCTGGCAGAGCCTCAGAAACATCAGCAAGCCAACTGGCTAAAGTAGGAAAGTGATGAAAACTGGCCATCTGTCACCCAAACCCACTGATGAGGTTTTGTATCTAAAGGGTACTGCACCTCCTGATGTGAGGTAGTGTAGAGTATACAGTGCTATCTGTATAGTGTTTTTGTCCAGAAAAAAAAAATTGAGCTTGCATCCAAATTACTACCTTTTGATATTAACTTCACGTTTGCAGGAGCTATTAGGGATAGAGGAACAAGTTATATGATGTCACAAGGAAATAAACAGGCAGATCCAGATGGGGGACATTCTACAGAACAATTACTGATCCAGTTCTTAAATAAGGCAGGTTTAGGGTTTGGGGGCAGGAGAAGTGCTCGTGATTGAAAGACTTAAGAAAAATAATAACCAAGTACACTACGGGGATTCTCTTTGGGTACTGATTTAAACAAGTTAACTGTAAGAAGACTTTTGAGGCAGTTGGGAATTTGTTGATTTCGTTAGGTGTGGTAGTAGCATTGTGGTTATGTAAGAAAACGTCCATGTTTTTCAGAAATGCATGCAGAGTATGTAGGGATAAAATACGAGATCTGGAATTTACTTTCAAACACTTCAGCAATAGCAAAAAGGAAATAGTTGAAGCCAATGTGGCAAATTCTTAATAATCACAGAGCCTGAGTGACACGTGCACAGGGGTTTGTAGGACTGTGCTCTTTACTTTTGGTAGGTTTGAAAAGTTTCTGAAAATTAATTTTTCAAAAACTTTTTTCTTAACTGTAGATACAAAAAATGTAGTCCTCTTTTATATGCTTTCAATGGTGTGACTTTAGTAGGTTCCCTTCAGAAAAAGCTTTCCCCACATAGAGCAGAGATTCTCTGTCTCACCCCTAATAAAAGTTTTATTTTGCAAATTTGCAAATGCAGAATGAAGTTGGAAAAATTGTACTGTGAATACACATGTACCCACCACCTAGATTCCACTTTTGGCGCTTTGCTACTCACCTGTGTCCATCTATCTGTCCATTTGATTTCAGAGTAAATTACTGGCAGATATGTTGCCCCTATACTTGGAGCACCAGGCTTACCTGTCACTTTCTCTGCTTCAGGCCAGCTGCCAACCTGGGATTCTGAGGTTTTTGGGAGCCCCCAGAAGTCCTGTAGCCCCTTCTTTGACACCCCTGAGAGCCAAGTTCGGGGCATCTGGGAAGAGCTCGGCGTTGGCAGAAGCGGTCACCTTAGCGAGCAGGAGCTGGCTGTGGTCTGCCAGAGCATTGGGCTACAGGGACTCAAGAAAGAGGTAAGAGACCAAGATAGATCACCCTCAGTGACTGGTTCTTTGTGTTGGTCATTGTTGATATTGGATATAGAAATTCTTTTACCTTTCAGGCACTGATTCAGTTGTGTCACTTTCTGGTCTAACATCCTTTGATGACTCACAGTGCTCTGCTGAAGTCTGCACCCTCGAGGGTCCACCTTTGATAAAGTGTGGCCCGAGCCTCGCTGACTTCTAAACATCTTTACTCAGGAGTCTTCCTCTGTGTAGGCCACCCTTTCCCCCTCCCTGTTTGGCCCTGTTCTACCCCCTCTCCCAAACACAGTGCCCTCGGAGCCTGGCTACTTTCCCAGTAGCCGTATTCATCCCTGCTTTCTTCCTGCAGGGACCAAGAGGAGGAGGAACAGGCATTAGTGATAGGGCAGGTCCCCACCCCCGCCTTGCTAAAGACCCCCTTAGCCCTGCTGCCCATGGTAGACCTTGATCCTCTGGGGGCTCAAGCCATGCTCCATATATATATGGTCTTCCCATCATCCAACAAGTTCATTCCACAGTAGATACTGAATGGGTATTTGTGGAATTTAGGAAGTTCAGGTAGCACCAGTTCACAGCAGAATGTAAACTGACCAGGCATGTTGATTTAACAAGCCAGAACCAGGGGAGGCCAGGCGTGACTGAGCAGTTTGAATTTGGATGACGACAAGCAAACTGCCCTACTTGGTGAGGGAGGGAGGGATGAAGGGTGCGAGGGTGGATGGGTAGGCCTGGGTGATTCTGGCTGGCATGTAGCTGCTTGCGGATAGAACTTCTGAGCAGAGGTGTGGTGGCTTTTGTTTAGGAACTAGAAGACCTGTTTAACAAACTGGATCAAGACCGAGATGGCAGAGTGAGTCTTGAGGAATTCCAGCTTGGCCTGTCCAATTATGGGCCCACTTCACTTCTGAAATCTTCCACTCCTGTCAAACTGAGCAGGTCCTGGTCTCATCATCAGGTAAAATGGGACAATTAAATCTTGAACCATAGCAGTAACTGCTATCATTCTCTAGCCTTCAGCATTTTTCACAGACCTGACCCCTCTGCCTGTGTCACCACAGTGAGCTGTTGGTTGGGGAGTGTACACACATGTGTAAGTTGGAGGCCGTGTGACTTAGATTTTGGAATCACACAGACCTTGGAGCTGATCTGATTTGCTCCTTTCTCGTTGTGTGTCACTGGGTGAGTTACCTTCTCTGAGCCTCCAGCTCTTCATCTGTGAAATGGGTACCCTCCTCATAGGGGCTTTATCAGGATTCCATGGCAGTTCTTCACTATGTCTCCTCAGTATGGGATGCACTACATTTCAATAAGAGAATCCCCTCTCCCTTCTCCCCATCATGGTGCAGTGAGAACAGTGTCACTGAAGGATTCTGGACCTTCCCTAGGATTACCTTCCAAGTCAAGTACTCATTAACCTGTGCTTTCCCCATCCTCTATTCTCGAATTTTGTCTCTCGTACAAATACTGAGTCCCTGCAGTTGGAGAGCAGATTTTAGGCAGTTAAGTTGTGATTTCATTGGTTTCCTCAGTCCTAAGATAGTAAGGCTGCCTTTTAGAACCACAGGGCAGTTGCTCTGGGAGTTTTCCCGTGCTTCTTTATTGACATGGCTGATCCCATGGTTTGTGAGCAGTGATATAGGACCAGTAGCATTGTTCACTGCCAGGCCAGGTAATCTGAGTCAGATTTCTGAATCTGAAGTCAGTGAGAATGAACAAAGAAGAAACTAGGAGTCTTGAGGGAAGGTGTCAGGCCACATAAGGTCAGAGACTACAATGAAGTCCCACGAGTCTTGCTCAGAGATGGTGGAGCCACCTCTGTTTTTGTATCCTGACATGGAAGCATAGCTGGCCAGGGGCCTGAGCTGTGGGTTCAGGAGTGAGGCCAGGTAGGACCCAACCTCTGGTCAGAAGCCAGCGGCCTGAAGAACAAGACCTGACTGTCCAGGAAGTGCCCTGAGCTGACATGGCTATGTAGTGGAGGGTGTCGCATCCTGTGAGTGTGGATTCTGGCATGGCATGATGGTGCCAAGCCCTCAGATAAGTGCCACAGATGGAGATGTGCCCCCACATGGTAGTCCCTGTTCACAAGCTCATAGTCCTCAGAGAGGAGGCTGGTGGGAGAGAGACAGGTGGTACAGGTACATTTGGGTATCTGAATTTCTTTATGGTAGCCAGGCGTTTGTGAGCTACCCTCTCTGCTTCTGTAAATGGGGTAAAATGCCTTCTTTGTAGAGCTATATGATTCCCAGCATAGGTCAGTGAGCTGTAGTCCTTAAGTAATTCTTTACGGAGAGATAGGGACACAGCTAAGAGCGGACAAAGACAGGAGACTGCTGCATCCACAGGAGAGGCAGACTGCACATGGGCCAGTGAGCCCCTGCAGAAGAGGTAAGTGATGTGAGGAGAGATGATGGGCTGACAAGGGCTCAGCCACTCCAGGGGAATGCCGTCTGAGCAGAGCCCTAAGCAAGAGACCTGCCATGGAAGGATTGGAGAAAGTGTTTCAGGCAATAGGACAGGCTTGGAATGTTCAGGAAGAGCAAAGATGCACTGGAACCCATAAGGAGGGGGCAGGAGGAGGCCGGTGAGGAAAGTGGCCCTGCAGGTGTGGCAGAATCCCTGGTGGCCTGCAGGAAGGGGCTGCTGCTGTTCATTCCTGTGGCCTCACACAGCAAATGCTTGTTTTGAAGTTCTCTGGCTGGGACAGAAAACAAGGAACATAATCTTGCCGTATGCATTCTTACAGTACCTAAGGCTAACAGGTCAGCTTTCTGGCTGAGATAGTTTTGCTTTCACCTTAAAACTCCCCCAGACTGTGTTTCTGAGTCCTGAGGAAATGCTTGGGCTGTCTCACCTCTTCTCTTTAAGTTTAACTTGGGTTTCTTTCCTCAGACTGCATTTCTTAGCACTGGCACATGCCTTCTTGAGCTCTTTTGTGAGGCCAGGCACACGTCGATACTGACTCAGAGGAGAGATGTTAAACTCTCACTAAGTAGTGCGTGTGGACCACTCAGGCTACTCGGGCTCTGGGACATGTTCCCTGCACAAGGCTTTGAGTGGATGGTAGGAAAGGGGGTACGTAGGGTCCTCGAGAGAGGGCTGGGCTGGGTGTGAGGAGCCCTGGGTTCAAATCCCTGCTCTGCCACCTGTAGTGCTGTGTGATCTTGAACAGATAGTGCAATGGTGCTGTGCCTTTGTTTCCTTGTCTAGAAAATGGGCCAACGGTAACCACATGAGTTGTTTTTATCAGGCCTCAATGAGACAGCAAAGGGCTGAGCATAGGTTGGTGAGGTTGGAAAATGTTTAAGAGGAATAGACATGCTTCAGGAGACCCATGTGCTCACAGGCATCTCTCTGTCCCCATGGCAGGTCCTGGAGGAGGGCGACTGTCATACCGCCACAACATCGTCCCTAGTATCTATGTGCTCAGGCCCGCGCCTCTTCTGCAGCGTTGACAATGGCACCGGCTTTGCCTTTCCTGAGCAGCTTTTTGCCCTGTGGGCCCAGGAGGGGATTCAGAACGGCAGGGAAGTCTTACAGGTTTGGAACTGATCACTCGCAACTGCCTCAGTGGCAGGCGTCCCAGCTGTGTGAGGCCAGCCAGGGGACCTGGGGGGCCGTCTGCCCACCAAGGAGACTAGACCATATACCCCACAGACATACAGGATGTTCACTCTGTGCAGCGAACCCCACGTAGGGAAGGCCAGTTGGAATCACTTTTTTCTTTATTTTTTTGCTATTAAAATACAGGAATTTTTCACTTACAAGATAATAAGTAAAAAGCAGTAGAAACAAACAGCCTGAAAGGCAATTAGGCATTTTCCCAGTGCATTTCAGCCTCAAAGATGATCTGTTTTCCTGGATGAGGGAGATCAGTCCTATACAAATGAGGTGGTGCAGATTTTTTTTTTTTCTTTAAGGTGTGCACTTTATTGAACTGGTCTCAAGTTTCAGTGTAGATGTCCCTTTCCTTGTGGTAGAGATATCTTACTGGACATCACTGTCACAGAAAGTCTGAGCGTTTCCACCCAGAGCTGCCTGGCCAGCTGGTTGAGCTCATTTCCCCATGTAAGCCCTACTCAATGCAGACCCTCCCCCCACTAGGTCTGGCATAGGGAGGCTCGCTGCCCTGCTGCCTCCTCCCAAGCCTCCTCCATGCTCTTCCAGGGATGAGTCCAGGAGGCTGTCCTCAGATGGGCCCAGGCCTCTTCCCCAGGGCCAGTCATACTGCCCCCAGGGCCACAGGACCAGACCTTGGGGCTTGGAGGGAGCTCTGCTCTGGGGTGGCCAAGTGGCATACAGGGGTCAGGCAAGGTGAGAAAAGAATGCTGGGAGAAGTGTGGTGAGCTAGACTGATATTTTCATTTCCAAATTTCACTTCATGTTGTAAATAAAAATGTCAGCTGTATAGAAATCTGTAAGATAATAAAGCCTGGCCCCACTTTAGTGTTGACAGCTAACGGCTTAGTGGATTGTCTGCAGAGCTTTTGCCTGGCACAAAAAAAATATATATTTAGACATTCCAGTTTAAAAAAATTTTTTTAGTTGGTATCATAATGTGTATTTTTTTAATTTGTGTTACGTTTGTGGACATGTAGGTTTTTTCCTATTATAAATTTTGTCATTTAAAATGCATGTATATCCTGCTGCTCCAATGCTGGTATTTCTGTATGCTAGATTCCTGAAGTTACAAATTTAATTCTTGATTAGTTTTGTCATACTGACTTCAAAAATGTCCTTATTAGCACAAACCAACAATAATGTAAAGGAACTCAAAGAAAGCCTTTAAGACAGTCTGCCTGGCTCCTTGGCCAGACCTTCCTGGGCCTAAATCTAGCTAATGCTGAGTCCAACCACCCAGCATCCTTGGGCAGACCCCAGAGGACAAACCAGACCTGGTCAGCTGGCCCTCGGGACTGTTCTGAGAACCAAAGCTTAGCGCAGATCACAGAAGTTGGTTCCTAGGGCAAAGAGTGAAGCGGCTCAGTTTTAAGATTCTCTTTAAAACCCTGTTCCTGAGTCCGGGCGTTTGGAGGTGGGCTGGCTGCCATCATAATCTGACCAGTGGTAAGTCTCGACCTTGCCTCTGACTTTTCAGAACTTACTGTTTTTATTGTTTTTGTGTTATCAGAGAATATTTCTTTTTCTTTAGCAATTTATAATTTACCAGTTATAGTCAGGATTTGATTTCATTTTGTTGAAAGACAGCGATATTTATTGAACTCCTCTTAGTACTTGGGCACCAAGCAAGGACCTGTCAAATGCGTAACTTTATTTACCCCTCACACAGCCCGGAAGGTGTTTGTCTCAGTTGACAGGTGGGGTAGCTACCTGAAGACACACAGCCAGGGCGGGAGCACCAGTGAGTGGTATGGGTGTCCTGGCATACCAAGTCAGGGCCCTTCTTGCCCGTGACTCTGGATAACTGCTTACCTGTGATATTGGTGGTCAAGACCACCGGTCACTGGCCCTGTCAAGAATAATAAGCACACCTGCCTAAAAAAGACCTTCCCCTTGGGAAAGAGATGCCCGATGGGTGAGCCCTCAGCCTGAATGTGCTGGCATCACACACCCAACTTCTCAAGATCCCCAGCCATTTCAGAGCACTGAAATTACCTGTGAGAGCAACTGAGGAAGCACCATTAATTCTGCAGTAGCTCCGTGAGGAGGCCCTGGATCGGTTTTCTGTCCTTCCTCAATAAATCACCACTAAATTATGCCTTAAAACACAATTGATGTTTCTTGTCTCACACAGTTTCTGTGGTTCAGGAATTTGGAAGCTGTGTAGGTGGATGCTTTTAGCCTAGAGTCTCCCATGAGGTTGGTCAAATGTCAGCCAGTGCTGCTGGCTTCTGAAGGCCTGACCGAGGCTGAGCATCTGCTTCCAGGTTGGCAAGTTGGTGTTTGCTGTAAGCAGGAGGCCCATTTCTTGCCACATAGACCTCTCTCGAGGGCTGTTTGAGCATCCTCACAACATAGCAGCTGGCTTTCCTGGAGTGCTATCCAAGAGAGAAGAAGGAGGAGGCCACCTGTCTTCTATGCCCAAGCCTTGGAAGTCACATGCCATTACTTCCTATGCATCCAGTGGGTTATACAGGTTGGCGCTATTCAGTGTGGGAGGGGAGTACACAAGCATGAATGTCAGGGGGTGAGGAACACTAGGGCCATTGTGGAGGCTGGCTCCCACTATGCCATGTGGTTTTTGATGACTCCTTTCTACTTGACCAAGAAGCTGCTGCTGTGACCTGCCATGTCTTTGCACTCTATCTTGTGAGATTATTGCCCTTGTGTAATAACAGCTTGAACTTCCCAAGTTGTTCCCTTAATGTCATTTCTTTCTTTTATTTTTTAGGCGAGGCAACCCTTGGTTGACCTCACAGATTGCAAGGACCTTGTCAGCTTACAATTCCTTATTTTATTTTATTTTTTTATGCCTACAGCACCTGGTCTTCCTAGATGGTCTCCCATCCAAGTACTAACGAGGCCCAACCCTGCTTAGCTTCCAAAATCAGATAGGATCAGGCTTGTTCAGGGTGGCATGGCCGTAGACTTAATGTCATTTCTTTTCAGAAGCACTTTGGAAAGTGGAGAAGAGTGGTAATTCAAGCCTTCATTTTATAAGTTTAAAGGGAGCATTCTTCATTCTCACACGTGAGCTGGAAATTTTGTGGCTCTTTCTCTGTAGGCCCATATTGGGTGCCTGCCCTGGATTTGTATGTATATGTCATAAAAGGAAGCAGGAGTCAAAAACACTCAAAGCTAAAAGAGCGAATGCAGTAAAGTGTTAGTTATTGACCAGTTGAGCAGAGGAGCACATGGGTGTTCTTTGTTCTTTTATTTTTTTATTTTTTTATTTTTTTATTTTTTTACTGTGGTGTAATACATAAAACAAATATTATTCTTTTATTTTCAAAATCCCATGGGGAAAAATAATGCTCCACTCGCTGGAACGCTTCACTGTGGCTTATCTCTGCTAGATCGTTTTTCCACAAACAAAACTATCTATCCACATATCAGTCAGGATTCTGGTAGTGTGAAATAACAGAAACCCAACTTCAGAAGCAGAGAGGAGGCTGTTAGGAGCTCACCTGAGTGTGCACTCAGGGTAAAGGACTTTAGG